TCCAGGCTAACAGTAAGGAGGGAAACAACAAAATGAAAATTCCAAGACCACTGAAGCAGTGCCAGGTCATAATCGGGTGAGGATTCATAAAGACTGTAAGGTCTCTTAAACTCACATGGTTAGCTGGCAGGTTCTCTGCAAACCTGAACCAGGGCTTTTACCTGAGGCAAGTCATTGGCTCAGATAACCTGAAACAGCAGAGGCCTGTCTTAGCCATTCATGAATCCCAGCTGGGTTTCACTGTTCTGCTTTTTGGCCTATAATTTCCCAATGAGCATTTGCCCTTTGCTCCATCTTTGTGTTGCCTGTGTACTTAATGGGGTGTTTGCTCTGTTGACTCTGCCCCAATGCAGTATATTACTTGAGAAGTGTAGTAATTATCTTCCTCTGTTATCTCAGAAAAACGTTCAGCACTTTCCAAATCGGAAGAAGAGAAAGTCCCCTCCATTTCCCAGGTGGTTTTTGATGACTCAGATTTTGCTTTATAAAGCGCAGGGTTATCCTGTCTCAACTCAACAAACACATACTGAACATGAGCTGAAGAACAGAGATAAATTTCATGGCCTCTCCGCACAAGGGTCTCCCTCTATCAAGGGCAAGTGAGGAAAATGCCCCCCAAAACAGCCATAAAATAATGGGACACGTGTGTACAATGGAGGACAAGGACACAAATAAATGAAGAAGCAACTGAGGGCACTGCCGGCCGACACGGGCAGTGAGGATTCAATGCCAAGCAAGTACACCCTGTATCCAGCAGCAGCAAGCTGGCAAGAAGGGCTGTGGGGGGAGTGGGATGTAGCCCTAGGTTTCCCAAAGTCTACTACTCATACTCCTGGGCTTGCACAAGATGGGTGATACATGAATACGTTTTTTATTTATATTAATAGTGTGCACTTTCATGTGTCTCAGGAAAAAAAAAAAACCAACACACCAAACCCAGGAATTCACAGATCTAAACTATATTTAAAAACTAAATTTAACTTAAAAAGGTGAACTGAAGTGACTGTAGGGAAGAGAAAGGGAACTGACGAAAGAAATGAATTACAAATGCCAAGATCTAACTGTAAAGATCTGTGCATTTTATTACATATAAGTGCTATCTCAATTTATAAAATAGTGAATTAATTTTTTTTAAATTTCTCAAGAAAAATAATAGTACAGGTGTCACCTGGATATGGCAGAAACCTTAAATGTGATGTGCAAATGACAAGTTCAAGAAACAATACTATACTAGCCTGTCCAGTAGAAATATGTGAACCACATACATAGTTTTAAATTTTCTAGTAGCTACATTTGAAAAAGTAAAAATAGGGGTGCCTGGGTGGCTCAGTCAGTTAAGTGTCTGCCTCTTGGTTTCAGCTCAGGTTGTGAGATCAAGTCCCACGTCAGGCTCCACGCTCAGTGCGGAGTCTGCAAGAGATTCTCTCTCTCTCCTCTCCCTAGGCCCCTCCCCCTACTCGTGCTCACGCAAGCTCTCTCACAAGTGAATAAGTAGAATCTTAAAAATGAATACAAGCGAAATTAAATTTTAATAATTTGTTATTTAACCCAATACACTTAAAGTAGTACTGTTTCAATATGCAATGAATACACACATTAATGAAATATATACGTATTTTCTGAAGATTTATTTATTTTAGAGAGAAAGCGAGCATGCATGCATGTATGTATGCCAATGGTGGGGAGGGGCAGAGGGAGAGGGAGAGAGAATCCCAAGCAGACTCCCCGCTGAGCACAGAGCCCAATGCAGGGCTCGATCTCACAACCCTAAGATCATGACCTGAGCCAAAACCAAGAATTGGACACTTAACCGACTATGCCACCCAAGCGCCCCAATTAAATATATTTTTAAAATTTTTTGTACTAAGTCTTTAAAATCTGGTGTACATTTTCTACTTACAGCACTCTCAAGTCAGACCAGACACATTTCAAATGCTCAATAGCTACATGTGGTTGCTGGCTACCACACTGGACTATGAAGCTAAAGATAATGAGAACACAATAAAGGTTTTTAAGGAGACAGGGACTTTCATTCCAGAAAAACTGCAGTCTAGGAGCAATACTTCCAAGGCACAGGTTTGTGGGAGGGAGGGAGGCAGGCAAGAAGAAAGGAAGGAAAGAAAAGGGGGGTGTACTATGAGCTACCTCTAACTAATTTGTTTTAACAATAAAGCCAAGAGTTTGTTGAATGAGTCTGGACTAAAAATCACTGTTTGGCAAAGAATACGTAATTATGATAGCGTGAAACTGCCCCTTTCTTATGCAATTCTCTGTGAAGTGTGCAGAAGCTACTGTCCTGGAAATCCACGTAAGATGTAAGAGGCGGCAGTTTCCCCCTGGGTTTCTGTGTGAGACATGTCTAGAACCCTTTCTCATACTGGAAGGAAATAAGCAGATTTAGCCATCCAACCTGCAGTCTCAAAAGAGGTGAGAAAGAAAATTTCATGGAGGGCCTCTTGTCACAGAAAGACAGAAAGCCTTCCTGGAAAGAAGGAAAATAAAGTTGGGAAATCTGAAACCAAAATGTCTCCACAAGTTCTATGCAAATGCAGAGCCAGAAATGACACCTTGCCAAATTCTCTTTCACAACAAAGAATTCATTAAAACTCATCCTCTCAACTTCGCCGGCCAGGCTCAGCCTCCCATTGAAAGTGCATCATTTAATCTTCCCCTCAAAAAAGCAAGGTGGCCAGTCGTTAGCGGCGTGGTCTTTACAATAAATTCTTTTGGTATCTATCAACAACCCTTCAGATTTTTTAAGTATTATCTCCTGACAGTTGTTATACTACTATTTGCCTTCTATTTACATTTAAAGTTACTTCACCGAAGAAGCAGGTACTACCTTCTTTATGATAGAGTGATTTGGTTCACTGTCAGTCTGCGTCAAGTTTCAACTTCCGTGACCAAAACCAGTCACGTGAAATTGTAAAATTAATTAATCAATCTGAAATGGGAATTTGGCCAGGCTATTTCAAGGTCTCACAGCTGATACAGAACATCAAGTGGTCTGAGTTGCATTTAAAATTGATCTAAGGAACACATTCTTCAGACTGATGATACCACAAATTTTATTGAAGGGATGATCACATTTCCCTTTATTCCCTCGAATCACATCAATATTAAATTCATGGCCTTTGAATCACTTCAAATCTAAACTCTGAATAATATAAAATTACTTTAGCAGAGTGTTAAGTCACTTTTAATATACCTCTTGCTTTCAACTTTTTCTGCAATTCTCATTTTTCTCTAACATATGGAGGTTCCAATCAATTGGAAATAGACAAAGCTTTCAAGAAAATTTGAAAAGATTAATGTGGTTTAAAGGAGGGCCTGACATTACTGAGGCGATTTTCTAAACAAAAATCGTCAGTCTTTCTCCCCATACCTTCATTAGTTCTAATGGATTTGTGAAGCCTCGGGAACTTCTCTCCTTTAGTCTGAAGACCGGGAGAACTTTTTTTTCTTTTTCTTTTTAAGTGACCTAGTACATCTTATTTTTTATCTGTGCTTAAGAACCCCAAACAGAAAATAATGCTGATATGGGAATAAATTTTCACATTGAGAAATGAGAACAGAATCCTCATCTCATTTATAGTTGATACTTGGACCTGTTTACTATTCTTAATTGGAGCAAGACACTATTATTTTTACTACAAAACACCTAGCTAAATCCTATCTTTATTTAGTCACAGGTTTTAATTCTAGCAGATGTCCAAGAAAGGAGAGCAATCTAGCCATCAGTGACCAAGTCACTTATGTGTGCTAACCTCATGTACCAAGGGCAGAGAGGCTTCTGGTAGGAGACCCCTGTCCTGGATGGGCAGCATCCACAACCCTACATCCTCTGGTTCTCAGGGCAGTTGGCCCAAACCTAAAGGGCAGAGAGAGCTTCAGAGTTCCAACGACAGCTGGTGCTCTGAAGACAATGAGCTGGTGGAAGAACAAGAATGTTTAAATATGCAATCTCCTCCAAAGATGATTACGCATAAAGCATTGTCAAAAAGTAATTCCCAGGGACATCCTCTGGTATCTAAACAAAACAATCCTGCAAAGGCAGAAACAGCAGATGCCTACATATTAAAGAATAGGGTAAACCACTCATAAACAGCCTACTGATTGTTGAAAACAAGTTGATACGCACCATCACAAAATTAACAACTATCAAAAAACCAAGAGCAGATAATGAAGGCTGACTTCAGGACCTCTGTGCCCACAAGCTGGCTGAGCAGCAGGGATAAAGCACAGCAGAGGAATAATGTGGTACCATGAAGTACCCGAGTATACTGAACGCTCCTTCGAAAGTGACAATGGAAGACCTGTGGGTTTGTTCCTGGAGATCTGGGGGTGGGGAGGTTGCTTAATGGGGGGTACATCTATCACTAAAGCAGACAGGTGGAAGGCCATTCAGAAGGTACCACCCTCCCCTACCACCAAAGAAAATACAATAAAGGATCTCTTACAAATATATTTGAGACATTAGATCCGTCACCCTGAGAACAGTCCACTACCCATACATACGATCTTGTCCCCATTTTCTTCCAGATGCAGAACAATCTACAGGGGCTTTTTAAGCTGCCCCATTTTCAGGCCAGGTCTGTGTGACATGCAAAGACATACATAGTTTCTCTATTCTCGGTGAGAAAACAAAAAAACTCGTCGTTTTGAGATACCGTGACAGAGAAAGCTGAGTGCACAAGCAAACACTCCACGTTGCAGCAGCATCTACAGCCAAGAAGATCCCCAGACAGCCCAAAGGCCAGAACAAAAAGCTGAGCAGTGCTGGCTCCCCAAACCTGGGGGAGGGCACGGCAGGGCCACTCCAAAATGAAGTTCCCCAACCAACCGGTCTTCTCAGCAAACGCAGTTACCTGTGCCAAAGAGGATTCCAACTAACAACAGTGCTGTACAAGCTTTGGAGGAATCGGCAATCAATTTATAAATGTCCGACATAGAGTTGGAAAAACATGTGACAGAGAATAAAACTGCAGGGACTTACATACCTCCATATCTGGCCTAAACTTATCTTCAAACACAGCCATTGCTGCCAAGGAGCCAGAACCTGAAAGAAAAAGATGCATCTTTAGTCTATTTATCGACTCCCAGCTTCTCCCTCTCAAGTTTACTTCGGGGCAGTAAAAATGGCAAAACACGCCCAGTGTCCCACTCGAGCACAGTGTAAATATTAATCCTATGGGCCACATAAACCAGGTAAACAATGCCCCTCAAAAGCCTCAAGTCACACTTACCACTGTCTCGGGTAAGCCTGCAACTGGCCCTACGTTCACTACTGACAGGAGTAACTGTAAATTATTCACAATAAAATGCTGAAGCAGGAAAATGAGGTTATGGAGAATTTGTATTTTTTCAAAAAGTGAATGCCACATAATTTCACACATGCTATCCCGGGAGTCTTGTGCTCCACAACTGGGCCTTGGCAGGCTGCTGGGCACAGCGCTAAATACCACGCCAGTTAGAAAGGATAGATTGTTTTAATGAGCTGGCCCTGGCAGAGTCACCTTGACACTCGGGGAAGAAACTACAGCCCCAGCAATGGTAATAGGACTGCAAGCTGCAGCCACCAGGTTATTCCAGCTTCAACTGTAAAACACTTTATTACGTGGCATTTATTTGGAGCTATTATTTTTAGTTCGTACTTTGAAGAGTAACAGCTGAGTAGACAAAATGACAGACAAACAAAAATTTATTACCACAATAGCAAATGGCTGAAAGGTTATGCTACATAGATATTAACAGACAGATTTCTCCCTACAAAAGTAGGATATAAAGGCGTTACAAATAAGTGTGGGCTCCCTTTGAATGGATGTAAAAGGCAGCTCAGCACTATTTGAAAATTTAAACTTGCTTTGTTCAGAAACCAGAGAATCTTTAGAAAACCATCATCTTGTCTTTACAGGGTCCTGGCAATATTTCAGGATACTCTACTTTTGGAGAGAGGATAGAGTTGCCCACAATTTTTTACTCCAATTAGAAGATTTTTTTGGCATTTATTACTTTTTAACTTGTTTTGCATAACACTATCTATTTAGCTGGGTCACAGAGAAAACCATATTTTCTATTTAAAATGATTTGTGTACATCGCTTGACCACCTCAATGGTTTTAGCAAAGGAAAAAGGCAGCGATTAAACAGTTTCAAATGAGGTGTCCTGCTGATTTTATCAAGTCTGCTGAATGTATAATGAAAAAGGAGAAGCTGACAGCCACGCTGTATTGAGAAAATACAGACTACCTTATCTGAACCATTTAAGGAGGTCCAATTATAGATCAAATTTAAAGGGTAGAAACAGCAGATTTACAGACACAAATCAATGAACATGGTAATCCCGATGAATATGACAGATACTCCTGTTATGGAATATTGCTGTGGTTGAGGATCATTACCTTCACAGCACCGGATACATCACATCTAAAGCAGTAGGAAGCGTCAAGTGTGGACCGGTATTACAAGCAATGACTATTCATTTAGGCTTGGGAGCAAAAGGCAACCCCATTTTCCCCTCTTACCATTTTTTTCTCCTTTTAAAAAAAGGGGGGGAATCTAAAGAGATATTAAAAACTCTTTGGAAAGGAGATTGAACTTAAACAGCTATAAAACCAGTGTGCACCCAAATAAAACCAGCATATAAGCGAGAGCAAATTCACCAAAGCCAGCCAAACCTTTGAATTTCATTAATAAATGTGTCCCTGAAAATTTGAAAATAGAGTCAAAGTCCACCAATATTTCGTGAGTCACACATTTACTCTGAGATTCAGGGATCAAGAGGAAAAAGTAACCCAAGTTTCTGTTCTAAGGCACAGGTGAGAACTAGTCTCAGACTTAGTAAAAAACAAGCTGGTTCTGTGTGGAAAACAAAGGACAGCTGTCACGAAGAAACAAGAACATTGCAAATAAGGAAAGCTCAGAAAAAATACTTCTAGATACAAAATGCTCCTATAGAGCGCCCAAAAGCAGGCTTGCCTTATCCAATCTGGTCCAAGAATCTCCCTCTGAAGAGCCAAGGGTAAATGTACCAGAGGCCTGAAATAAACATTAAAAAAAGACAGGGGAAGGTGGGTAACCTAAGAGCTAACAACTTTGTGGAAAACTGTAATCAATTATTTTAAAAGAGAAAACCAAACTTACCATAAAAGACATTTTTCCTTAAAAATTAATAGCCCTGTTTTTTTCTCTCGGGCCATCCTTTTTCACTGTAAATAAGTTAATTTTATTCTTATTTTTCCTGGGCACATATATTTCCTTCTGCTTAGCTTCATCCGATATTTTAAGGAATGAAAAATACTTTCCTCCCAATATAATTCTTCCTTTATCAAAAAGAACTCTTTTTCCTGCTTAGAAACAATGCTACAGACAAAATTTCTGTAAGGGGAAATTATGTACTAAATCTAAACCCTTGGAACAAAAAGTGTCTCTCCAGTGTGGGGATGCTTCCCACACTATCAGAGACTGATTTTTTTTTTTTTTTTAAAGAGCCGGAAGGTGCAGGCCGGGTAAACACAGAAAGGACACTGGAGTCTTCATTTACATTGTATTTCTGCTTCCCCTTTCCCACCACCCCCCAATACACACACTGCAACCTATACGGCACATGCACAGTGTTGAGAAGTTTTCTGGAAAGCAGAAGCTTGCTAAACGCCTGATTCTGCTGCTCCTGAGATCAAAGATAAGCAGACTCCAAATAAACTTGAAAAGAAAGGGAAATTCGACATTAAAAACAATTTCTAAATCACTTGCAAATTAGCTCCTGCTCCCAGCTTTTCAAGAAAGGAGGACTCTGGCGCCCCCTTCTCAGACATAGGTGGAAGTGCTAGGAGATGGAGTGGCAATGACCTGTCAACAGGTTTCCAGGAAACCCTGGAAGTGTGTCTGTTTTAACACTGAAATCAGAATTTCAAATATGACTGCAATTGCCCAAAGCGGCCAAAGAACAAGATGCAAATCCTCACATAATTTCAAGGCAGTGCAACTGGGGGAAGGAACAGGAGTTGGCCATTAAAAAGAAACAAGGAAGGTAAACTTGACGAGACCAGTATTTTTTTTTTTCCACTTAAAGCAAGGACCAAAATTTTATATGAAGAAACAACAAAATAAAGTTTGAGAGATTAACTTAAAAGTAAAAAAGCAAATCTTGTCAAGATCCTTTGTAAAACTTTCTTCGTCGGTGGTTAATTATTTTAATACCAACATGCTCTGTATTACTTTGCATTTGATTCCAGCAGTTGCGGTTCTCTAGCTTCCATTGTTTCATGAAATCCTGCATCTTTCTTCAGAATTTGTTTTTTTTTTAATTTTTTATTGTTATGTTAATCACTATACGTTACATCATTAGTTTTTGATGTAGTGTTCCATGATTCATTGTTTGTGCATAACACCCAGTGCGCCACGCAGAACGTGCCCTCTTTAATACCCATCACCAGGCTAACCCATCCCCCCACCCCCCTCCCCTCTAGAACCCTCAGTTTGTTTTTCAGAGTCCATCGTCTCTCATGGTTCATCTGCCCCTTCGATTTCCCCCCCCTTCATTCTTCCCCTCCTGCTATCTTCTTCTTTTTTTTTTTCTTAACATATATCGCATTATTTGTTTCAGAAGTACAGATCTGTGATTCAACAGTCTTGCACAATTCACAGCGCTCACCATAGCACATACCCTCCCCAATGTCTATCACCCAGCCACCCCATCCCTCCCACCCCCGACCACTCCAGCAACCCTCAGTTTGTTTCCTGAGATTAAGAATTCCTCATATCAGTGAGGTCATATGATACATGACGAGACCAGTATTCTTTAATAATTTCCCTCAGGTTTCCTAGATTTTGTTTCAGTGCTATTTAAAACTGTATACAGTAAACCACCTAACTAATGCCACACTCGTATAGCAGCCATGAGACCCACAAAATGTTTAGATATTATATCCCATTTTTAAGCCAAAATAATGCCCTGAGACGTTCCATGATTTCAGCATTGACTTAAACCAACCTGGCACTTTCGAACCCAAAACCAAGGCTAAAAGTCTTCTGAAGGAACATTTACCCTGATTCTCTATTCCAAAAACAAAGTCACCTTAGACAATTCATCAGCAGTCCCTGGTTTCCCATTAAGGAATAAATGAACAGAAAAACCCGGAGACAGTGTACAAGGGCCTCTGCTTAGACAGCAGGCATGTCAGGGGAAGGAAATGGATGTCAGAGGGAATATGCTTTCCACAAATGCAGGACAGGCTCTAGGAAGTAGGGGTGTGAGGCCTGCCCTCAAAAAGCTTATCTAGGGCGCCTGGGTGGCTCAGATGGTTAAGCGTCTGCCTTCGGCTCAGGTCATGATCCCAGGGTCCTGGGATCGAGTCCCGCATCGGGCTCCCTGCTCCTTGGGAGCCTGCTTCTCCCTCTGCTTCTCTCTCTCTCTCTCCCTCTCTCTCTGTCTCTCATGAATAAATAAATAAAATATTAAAAAAAAAAAAAGCTTATCTAATGGTAGGGAGGAGAAGGCAGCCAAGGAGGAAGAAACCAAAGCATTTTGTTGAGCACCCACTCTGTGCCATACATCATATTAGGCCATTTAGTCATCCCACTGAAGCGATACTTCTTGTCTAGCGTTACAGAACTAAGAAGTGCCGGGCAGAAGTTCTACCTCAGGTGAGACTGGAGAGGTACTCTCTCATGCCACAAGAGTTCACAGCAGACATGCATGACCTTCCATGACCCAGTCTCTGTCTCCCTCGACCCCCTCCTCACACTTGACACCCCACCAAAATAAAACTGACAATAATTTCCTAAATTATACCATTTCAAGCCAGTCCCACCTCAGCACGGGCTACGCCCTTTGCTCCCTTGGCAGTCCACAGAACTCCTAGCCACCCTTCGAACCCCAGCTGAGAGATCACTTCTTCCCACAAGCCTTCCCTGACCAACCCCCCACCACGCGTTTATCAGCCTCCTCTCCGCAACACGCCCATCCTTTCCTATCTGCAGTCTCGGGCACACAGCGAGCACTAAACAGAAGCTGCTGAAATAAGCTGGGCTGATTTCAGGACAACTGTCCAAATGAAGG